TGGACTGGGTCACTCTGGCCCGTGTAAAAAAGATTGGTCTTCCCTTAAAAGGACATTTTTTTTAATTGAAAAAGGTGTAACCCACGATGCCACGTACAGACGTACTGGTCACATTCAGATAAGCTGTATGGCATGCATGCGACGCGGCGGTACACGCACACCACGTGCCGTGCATCTTCTGCAATGCAATGCGTACGCGCGGGGTGTTTAATTAGGCACGTCTGAAATGATTTCGTCCGTATGATGATGATGAACGCGAACACGACAGCCTCTGTTTTCTACGTACATTTATACTACATGTCTGCTTGCAGGAACACGACATGATCCGGTACGTATGGCGGCCTGCACGCAGAAATTAACGCGTGCGCGTGCGTCCTAGGTGCAATGGACCGGTCGTACGCGCGTAAGAACCATCCGTCCGTACCGTGCGTGCGTCCACCGCTGCGGTGCATGCATGCAATTCACTGGGCCAGTAAACATCCACCCGTGCACGCACGCACGCACGTATCCTCCAAATACTTCGGTAATTCGGTCTGCGTAGGCACTTTTTCATCGAAAGTCCTACACCGGAGCTCATACGAGCTCTGGATGAACAGTAACTCGAAAAGTAATTTAAAAATGTTCAAACAAATCTGAATTCTTTTATGACGAAGTTTGACAAATGTTCTAAGAGCTTGCAAAGTTTGATCATAAAATCATATTTGTGGAAGTTGTGGCATAAAAAAAAGCAAAATCAGTGCTCCAAAATGCTTTCGAAAGTAGTACTTTCAGTGTAGATTTTTTTTTTTTGCCACGACTCCCACAAATGTGATTTCATGATGAAACTTTGTTACCTCTTGGAACATTTGTTAAAGTTTTCCATAAAAGAATTCCTGATTTTTTTTTGAACACTTTCTATTTTTTTTCGTTTTTACTGTTCAACCAAGCTCCTTTGAGCTCTGGTGCAAAAATCTCACGTTCCTTTTTCATGTGTTTTATCGCTCTCGTGCGTAGAACGAGTAAGAGTATCCATGTCAATATGGTTCCTGGGCTTTGAAATGAAATAGTATAAAGGACAACGTTCGTGGGCTACACCTGAGATGGGGGGCCACATACCTTGCCAAAAAAATCAGACTTTCGTTTTTTATAGATGGAGAAAAAGGTATATATTCGAAAAATGTTCACAAATTTGAAAGAAAAAATCTGTAGGTTAATTTTTTCACGAAATTTGAAATATGCTCACAAATTTTGAAAAAGCATAAAATTTTATAAAAGTTCAAGATCTGAAAAAATATTACAGTTTAATTTATTTCATAAATTTTAGAAAAATCACAACGTGAAAATTCTCATATTTTTCAAAAACAAAAGACAAAACCAAGTAAAAAGCACTAAAAAATTGAAAGTTGTCATTATAGTCAACCTATTACGCATGATGCACCTAAAAGTTGTCGTTATAATCAACCTGCTATGCGTGTTTGACAAATTCCAAAGTACACCGTCCGGCAGATCAACACTCTCGTGGTCTAATAAATTAGGCATACATTTAACTTTTACATGATTATACTTATAAGTACATGATGATGTGATCTTACAGTATATCAATTGATTGGGTCTGTTAAACACAATTGTTCTACGAACAATGTGCTCCCATTGTTATTGGCATACTTGTTACATTAACTATGCCCATGACCAGGAAAACATGATCATCATGTGATACATGGCCTAGTCTTAGATACGAGACTAGAAATCTACTTGTTGTTTATTATTACACACATGCGGTTTTCCTCCGAATTTCATGTTTATTGTAGATTTGAGAACCATTGCAATTATAACATGAAAAATAAATATTAATTTTTGAACATAGAAATAAATAGTAAGATTTATTATTGCCTTTAGGGCATATTTTCTTCACTGTGCTTCCTTAAAGTGGGAAGGGCGAGGCGACACCTCAACATGCAAACATGCATGACAAACAACACGCCTGAATGATTATTTACAATAAATATTTTAGTTTTAGTTTTCATGTTATTAATCCAAATATTCATGTTTCAAATAATCAAATATAACTATATTGCAACCAACTCCTGGCGCAATGTGCGGGGTATCATCTGGTTTTTATTTGTGTTGGTGCTATATTTTGCCAAATTATTTTGATGGTGTATTTATTATGTTTAAAGATGTATTGGGTCCTTTGTTAAGATGCCCCTAGGAGGTCACACTTTCATGGCCTAGGCCGGCCCTATTCATCTATTAGAATGACGATTTACGAGAGTGGGGAAGGGCGCGGCTATCTGTTGCTTACTAGGATCCACACCGCTGCTTCGCCTACCGGGCGCGGTGGTGGCCGGCCCAGTAGGACAAAGTGCGTCGAGCTGGCGTCATGCTCATGTCACTCGAATATCTTTTTCATTTATACATATTTTACATGACAATAGTGCAAAAACTAAACATTTACCTAAGCAAATTTAAAACCAGGAATTGGACAAAATGGTAACCAAGTATAAACAAATTGTTAACATAGTTATAATAAAATGTTGATAACTTTAAAAAAATCATGGCAACATTTTTTTCCGTGTTAAAAAAAAGTACATGAGATTTTTTACAAAATGTGCATACAATGTAAAAATTATTTTTTACAACTAAAAAATGCAAGTGACATTTATTGAAATATTCCTTGTTTAAAAAACTATTTTAACATTTTAAATTTGTTATATACAATGTAAAGAATATTCACATAGGTTAAAAGTTTTATTGCATTTAAAAATGTAAGTGGCACTTTAAATAAATAATCAGGTGTTTCCAAAAAATTCCCGTGAAATCTTTCAAAAAATTTATACAATGCAAAATAAATGTTTGCGTAGTTTAGAAAAATGTTTATTGCCATTAAAACAATGTACAACCTGTATTTGGAAACATGTTATCATGTATTCAAAAAGTGTTGAAAACTATTTAAAAAATGTCCAACGTGTATCATAAAAATGTTTCACATGTGCTCTAGGAATGTACGTTGTGAACTAAGAAAAAGTAGACATGTGTTGAAAAGAAGAAAACAGATAAAACCACAAATAAACAAAAAGAAAAGCAAAGAAAACCAAAGATCGCAAAGAAAACCAGAGAAAAATGGTGTAAAAAAAGGAAAACCAAAGAAAACTGGTAAAATAACAAATAAAACCAAAGATGAAAAACCCATAGATAACCGGACCTGCACGAACCTATAAGACGTAGCGAACAAAGGATGCTACTCGGCAGGCCCGCTAGACGTTGCCCTTAGGTGATTCCTATTAGGAATTGGCACGGGCGACATATAGCCCTGGCGAGTGGGGAGGTCTATCTATCCTTGATTGACAGGCTTGGACAACCCATGCCCTAGAAACCCTCTGGCAGCGTTAGTGAGACCACTGGTGTTGGTTGTGCCATAGCAGGGAACTTAAGCATGAGCTGTTCGTAACCCGGCACCACCAAACAAAAAACTGGCGGTGAAGTGGGCGATGTTGGAGAGCACTGGGGGCGGCCGGTATGAGCAGAGAGTTGAAGCTGTCGTTGAAGGCGAGCATGCGGCGGTCTTAGTCCATCGCCGACAGTGCCCATCGGCACGAAGGACAACTTGTGTTGTAGCGGAAGCGATAGCTGGAGCAACTCATGAGTGAAGATCGAGAGCGGGAAGATCGAGAGCAGAGAGTTGAAGTTGTCGTTGAAGGCGAGCATGCGGCGGTCTTAGTCCATCGCCGACAGTGCCCATCGGCACGAAGGACAACTTGTGTTGTAGCGGAAGCGATAGCTGGAGCAACTCATGAGTGAAGATCGAGAGCGGGACGACCGACATGGCGGAGTGACGGACTAGTGGGACTGAGAAGGGGACTTGCAGCAAACACCGATAGGGTTGACCGACATATTGCGGATTATAAACTTTACAAAACTTGATTTAAGATGTGATATTCAAAGTTAAAAAGAAACATGGAGGGAAAAATATGTAGAAATTTTTTTTTGAGAAGAAGAAAAAAAATGTGGACGTGGGTCCATTTGGAATTGGACCACACTCATCGTTTGGCCAGTGCCGTTGGTAATTACATGAGTAAATCCATCTGCGGCTGCGCAGTGGTGGTTCTGAATTCGATTTGATTGTGTGTGTGTGGTCGATCTTTGTTGGGCTGGGGACCAGATGGGCCGGCGACAGGGAAGAACATTCTCCACCTTGCACACTCAGTTTGAACTTGAAGTTAGTTTGATGTTGGTCCCATGCCATATCAGTTAATTATATATTTAATTAACGAGCGCATATGCACTTATGCAGCACTCCATGCAAGTGGCGCGCCACCAGTACCTACGAATCCATCAATAATTAAGGCGGTGCTAAAAAAAGACATTCATTTAAATTACACACAGAGGCAGAAAATCTCAAAATTGCTCTGAATTTTCTCGAACAAATCTCATTTTTACCTTGGTGAATCCGGCCAAACTTGAACCCAACTCTAGTCCCCACTTCTTCTTCTTCTTCTTTTTTTTTACCTTGGCGGTAGCATTTGTGTAGGATAGAAATGGAGTTGGGAGACCCATGCACTAGCTGGGGCAACAAAGAATATTTCATCCATGCATACACACTTGAAGCTAAGATGCATGTCGATGGAGCAAAAGCTTAGCTATTGCATGCGGTAAAACGTTTCATGCGTAAGTACGACCTCGCTACTACCTAGCTAGTCCTGGGCTGGCTAGCTAGCCGGGGCAGCATGCACTTGCCACCTTCAGATTCCATAATGTCACTACACTAATCAATCAATGCATGCATTCGCTTTTCTTCCTGCCGCCAACCTACCCACACTCCTACTACACCACGTCAAGCTGAAGATCAGCTGGTACTAAGCGGATTAATAATCAACGAAAAATCGATGGGAAATACAAAGACACTACTAGTATGATAGCACTCCTACGTACTGCTGCTGCTGCTCTACCTGCGTACGGTCTACTCTACGTACTACGACGACGACTGCTAGCTGCTGCTACTGGTAGCTATAGATTGGAGGTAGCTAGGCGACATCGCGCTGCTCCTCCTTGATCGCGCCGGGGAAGAGGTCCAGCGTCTTCAGCGGCCGGCAGAACAGCCCCGTCGCCGTCACCGGCGCCGCCTGATCTTCCGTCGCCACGGCCAGCTGCTGTGGCTGCTGCTCGTACCGCGACGGCCGGCACGTGTCGTCCACCACGCCGAAGTTGCCCAGCCTCCCCAGTGAGTACTCCGGCGATCCTACTACGCCTCCACCCTGAAGTCACAGTAGTATATATGAGGTCAGGTCAGGCATGAGCATGAGCAGCTCAGGATGAACGTAGCTTGTACGAGCAAGTAGCTAATCGATGGAGGAGAGGAGGACGACAAGGTAGCTTAGGTTTGTACCTGGTGATGGAAGGACAGCGGCGTGTTGGGCGGCGAGGGGTCGGCGCACCGGCTCGCCGGCACGGCGGCGAAGGGGTAGGCGTACCCAGCAGCAGCAGCAGCATAAGCGGAAGCTGGGACGGTCGTCGGGAGCAGGTGCTGGTCGTAGCTGCCGCCGGCGCAGGAGGCGGAGTAGTACTGCTGCTGCTGCTGGTGCTGCAGCAGCGGAGGGGGAACCGCGCCGGCGCCGAGGAGCTGCTGCTGGTGGTGGTACTGGCCGGCGTTGGCGGCGGCGTAGTAGTGGGCGCAGGAGAGGAGGTGGTGGCTCATGCAGAGCCTGCGGCGGAGCTTCTGGCGGTCCCGGGCCTTGTGGTTCTGGAACCAGTAGAAGACGTTCTTGCCCTCGATGCGGCCGTAGTGGGCCAGGTGCGCCGTGATCTGCTGGATCTGCGACGCGTTGGGGGTGCGCAGCCCGCCGCGGTACATCTCCTCCAGGATCATCAGCTGCTCCGGCGTCGGGCACCACCGCGTCGTCCCCGTCACCACGCTCGTCGCCGCCGCCGTCGCAGTCGCCGTCGCCGCCATCGCACGTGCCAAGGCTCTAGCTCGCTCTTGCTCGATCTATTGGTGGAGTGGACTGTGGACGGAGAGACAAAAGGTGTACTAGGATGAAGAAGAGAAGAGAAGGGGAGTTTGCTGGTTGGTTGGGTTCGTTTGGTTTGGTTGCTCCCTGTGTGGCAAGCCAAGGATGGCCGGGCAGGGGTTATTATAGGCAGCCGCGTGCGCGAGGCGACACTCTCCAGTGAGTAGAGAGAGAAAGAGAATCTAGCTCAAGAGAGAGAGAGAGTGAGTGAGTGTATGTGTGTGTTAGAGAGGGAACGGTCTAGAGAGAGAGTGCATGCATATGGCTGTGTAGAGTGACACAAGGAGGAATGGAGAGTGGCCAAGGGTGCATGCATGCATGCAAGAATTAATGTGTGTGTGTGTGTGTGTGTGTGTGTGTGTGTGTGTGTGTGGTGTACCGTTGTAGGGTGGATTTCGTGATTGTATAATCGATTGCAGCATGATGGTGGTGGCCGGCCCGTTGCATGATGCTCCGATTGGATACATTTGTCTTCGAGACATTTTGGTTCTGTCTCCTCCTGGACACAAGTACTCGTGTGGTACGTACGATCGATGTATACGTGGTGATGGATATACGCAGAGTTATTTGACACTCGTGGTACTTCGCATACTCTATGACACTACGCGCGTAGTGTCGCGCGCTGAAGCGGAATATACATGCCAGTGGGTACGTACATACGCTACTACGTGTTTCCTGCCATGCACGGACAGGGGCGCAGAGAGGGGTGCAATGCATGCATGTGAGGTTCAGTTAATGTTATGTCGTATACGTGTCCGTATATGCTGTATGTGGAAGTTGCAAAATTGGAGATGCATGCACGGGCACGGAATTCGGCTTGGGAGGCTGGCTCAGTGAGTGAAATCGTGGCTTTTGGCTGCAGAATGTGAGGAGCTTGTGAGTTGTGACCACCACGCTTTTTTTTTTGGCAAGGAACTGATAGTAGAGCGAGGGGCTGAATGTACAATTTCTTTTATCAGAGATACTATGGACCAAAGAAACAAATCAGGGGAAAACTCTGATCTATCCTCGAACATCATGTCAGTACAAAGAAGACAAAAAAAAATACATCCGTGTTCGTAGACCATCTAATGATGAATACAAGCATTGGGGCGAGACGAATGCATGCCACGGTCATCGTCCCTTTCTTACGGGAGCCGGGCAAAACTTCTTATATAGTACTCGGTTAGGAAGTCGTCGTGCTACTGCCCCAAAGAACCGGTGGACCAGAACAACAACCGTTGTCGATGAAAAGAAGCGTAGATCGAAAGGATCCAACCTGTAGACAAGGAACTTAAACCGGATCCCAGCAGATCCACCGGAAACAAACACCGACCGAATCTCCCAAGATCCTTCGAAGACACACCTCCATACGCCAAACCCTGCCGGGATTGGGGATAGGAGGGAAGGGAGCCGCCGACACCTCCCCTTCCTCCTTGAGCAGGACACAAACCCTAAATAAACTTTAAAGTACGAAGTAGAAAGCCTCCAACCAAGCAAGTGGTGGAATCCACTGCGGCTCCATTGCACCAAGGCCAGAGAAGACGAGACAAATAGACGGCAAGAGCGGCGAAAGACAGGGAAACTCTAGGGGGAGTTGCTCGCGGACGAGGTCGAGGAAAAAGGCATGTCTGTGCCAAACCCTCAACTTGCTAGGATAAATAATGCAGATGCCACCATTTTTAGACTCTTATTTCATACGTATAATTCGTACAAATGCACAATATTCCATGAATCATTTGGAACTCACTAAACTTGGCTATCATATGTTGGATCACTTTACCCGTGTAAATTATCGAAGAATATAATCGTCGTGTGAAGAAGGTTCTAGCAGAGATTCAGAAAATAGAAGCGGAAAGTTGGCTCGTATTATTTCATATGATTACACACGTAAGAAGATCCACTGAAACAACTTTTTGGTTACTGTAGAGAGGAGTACTGGAAGTACGTTAATCTATAGAAAATGCGTCCTGGCTTTTCTACTGCAAGCGCCTTGAATGTTTGATCAGTATCTAATACGGTTCTATTAACACGTATGTGACGTCTTCTCCTTTCTCTCTGCCATTGGATCAGACAGACCCAGCTAGATGAGAGAGAGAAAGAGAGAGGGGGAGAGAGAGAGAGAAAGTGTTTCAATTGCATTCAAGGGTGGAATTACACGTAGGATTCTGGAGATCTGTCTCGGATTGCGGGCGAGTGGAAGTAAAAGGACTAGCTCGGAAATTATGAGGCGATGATGGCCTCTGCACCGGCACTAAACGCGGCAGCGGCACAACCATCCCGTCTCATCTCTCTCTCTCTCTCTCTCTCTCTCTCTCTCTCTCGCTCGCTCGCTCTCATCGGAGTTGCTGTAGCGGGCGCGTCGTCCTTGCAAGGGCTGACTAAATGGTGCTTTTACTTCTGCCTTTCTAGCCTAAACCCTAGGCTTTGTAGCACGCTGTGCTGCATGCCTCCATGGCTGCCAAGATACCGCGCGTACGAGCCCTAGCCATAGCTTAGCTACGGTTCAGCTCTGCGATTGTGAGTGAATCCGCTAAGAAATCCATTTTGATTATCACCCTCCCAAACATTTTGATTATGAATGAATTCCTTCCGTTCTTTGGTCGCAGTTTAATCATGCATGCAGGCCGTCCACTCGGTTGTCGGCCACCTGCCATGCAAAGCATGCATGTTGTGATTCCCCACGTATTCAATCGGAATTAAGAGAGTGGCCTTGATCCAAAAGCTGGACCGGATGATTAGCCGGAGTAACTAGCTAGACAGACTGACAGATTAAGCACACTCAGAGACGGGGCAGCATACACCATAAGTGGGCAGTTATACGGTGCTTTTAGGAAATGGACCACCGCGACAGCTACTTAACAAACGGCGTACGGACCGTCAGGTCGAGGCGAAGCATATTCATTATTACTGTAATTAATCTGACTGGTGCCTAGGAACACGTAGTAGCTAGCACTAATAACTGCGACTGATTCAAACATGACAGTATTTGTCAGTATATATAATCATAACAGTATGGCACTATCTAGGCCCCAGCTAGTTAGCGAATTGTTCCCTACAAAGGATTACACTAATTAGTGACACTTGCTTTATTTATCCTTTCTTTAGATATAGAAGTCTTTATTTATCCTTGTGTCTACACCTGAGGGTTACTCCGTCCATTCAGGTCCAATTTGTAACACTCAAACATACTCCCCTCCGTCCCATAATATAAGACGTCTTTTGTCACTAGTATTTTAATGAAAATATTGATCATTAATATGATTAATGATATACCAATTATATACCATAACGTTATGTACCATTGTAAACTTCTTTCAAATGTTAATCCAATTGTATAGCACTGTTTGTGGCATGTAATCAATAATATTTTTTTAAGTTGGACAACTAATAATATGTTGCTGAAAAATATTATGTTTATCAAAATAGTGGTGAAAGTTTTTCTTAAATGATGCGGGTCTTATAAAACCAAACAGAGAAAGTAGCGTCGAACTGACGGGCACACACACGCATCAAGGAAAAAAATATGCGTGCCTTCTTTTTCTTGACGGTTTCTCGCCGTCACTAATTGAAACCATGTTGGCAAGCCAGAGGTACTATCGATATATTTTTCTTAATGATTTTCTACCGTGGCGGCTTTCGACGCGAATGATTTCGATTTGGCAGACAGACTGACATATTAAGCATACTCAGAGATGGAGAAGCATACACCATAAGTGGGCAGTTAGGCCTTGTACAATGGAAGGTGCTTAAGGGATGTGCTTAGAGAAATAAACCAGGCTTTTCTTAAGCACCGGTGCTTATTTGTACAGAATAGGCACCGGTGATTCAGAAAAACCCGGTTCATTTTTCTAAGAATCTTTCTAAACACCTCCCATTGTACAAGGTCTTATACGGTGCTTTTAGGAAATGGACCACCACGATAGCTACTTAACAAACGGCTTACGGACCATCAGGTCGAGGCGAAGCATATTCATAATTACTGTAATTAATCTGACTGGTGCCTAGGAACACGTCGCACTAAATCGCAACTGATTCAAACATGACAGTATTTGTCAGTATATATTATCTATCTACTAGTATAATAGTATGGCACTATCTAGCCCCCAGCTAGTTAGCTAATTGTTCCCTACTACTCCTGAGTGTTCCACTAATTAGTGATGACTTACTAGTCTTTATTTATCCTTGTGTCTACACCTGAGTGTTACTCTGTCCATTCAGGTTCAATTAATCACAACCAAACATATTTTAATGAAAACATTGATCATTAATATGATTAATGATATACGTGTTATATACCATAAAGTTATGTACTTGGAAACTTCTTTCAAATGGTTCTTTTAGGGCACGTATTTGAAATGTTAATCCTTTCATATAGCACTCTTTGTGGCATGTAACTAATAATATGTTGATATAAAATATTATGTTGATCAAAATAGTGGACAAAGTTTTTCTGAAATGATGTGGGCCTTATAAACCCGAACGGAGAAATTTTGCTTCCGGCTGATGGGTGCACACACTCATGAAGGAAAAAAAATATGTATGCCGTTTTTTTGACGGTTTCTCACCATCACTAATAAAAACAATGTTGGCAAGTCAGACATACTATTGATATTTTCTTTCCTATCGGTTTTCTACAGTGACCGCTTTCGACGCGAAGGATTTCAACTTGTTAGACAGGAGGAGGCAAGAAAGTCATATGATAATATATCTTCTTCATTCCATGAATCCAAATTAGGCAAATGTTCGAATTCCCTCCGCTTCCAGGCTATGGCTCTGGACATTGGCATGATCCTTACAATACCAATTTAAATCTCACCTTGTGCTAAGTAACTACAATGTCACCGTCCATTTTAAAATATAAGGTGTATTTTTTTTCAAAAGGCAAACAGTTCTATGTTTGGCCATATCTAGAAGGGAAAATAACTAACTACAATATCAAATAAACAAATGAATCTAATTA